CTTATTTGCATCAGTATTTGATTGCTTTTGTTCTTTACAAATTTTGCTATTATATCTTATTTGCTTACATAATTTGACACTTATTGTAATTATCTTTAAATTTAGTGATTCAGCTTTTTATTTAGTTTATTAGTGAAATCTAAAAAAGAGAATATAACAACCTAAATTTTGATTTAAATTTAAATTAGTATTTCTGATACTAAAAATAGACGCAATTCTCTCTAAAAAATATGAAAATTTTCCTAGTCGAATCTGCCCAAATCCACATCAAGAAAAAATAAATGGTTTAATGTTATTCACCTTGAACAAATGGTTCAAATATCTATTCAAACCATGCCAAGAATAGCGGATTGATAATTTAAATTAGAAATCATTCATGTAAATTCAATTAATATGCCTGAAAATCATGATGAACGATAAAACAATGTAACGCGAATTAAAAATTCGTGAATCCTCGCATCCAGGAATTTTGAAGATCAATGCAAAATTTTCCTATTTTGACATTAGGATTAATTTACTATAAGGATATACTTCGAAGGACATGTTTTTTTTATTAGTTCATGAAAAAAAAATATGGACGCACCAATAAAATCTTTTTCAAGGAAAAAAAAAAGGTCTCGTTGTCATATTTGGAATTTGTAAATGCATGTTATATGGGTGTAACTCGGATGCGATATTCCGAAATAAAGTAAATCGAAATATTTGAGAGGCTTTGCTATTGTTAATGGCTTTGATTTACATTGAGGCTATGAAATTAATTAGATTATTTCATATCGAGATAGATCATAAAACAACTCTCTGCTAGATTTCAAACTTTTCATATTTATAAAAATATCATGAACATTCAAAGAGGAATTGTTTCTTTCGTTTCAATAAAACGAAATTATCTGTGCGCATTGCTAATTAATGTCATTATTATGACCCTCGTTCAACCGATTTTGTGTCACAGGGAACTTCATCATAATCTTAAGTTACGTAAACACAAAATGGTTCATCATAACGATTCCGATTTAGATTCTTTAGAATCCACGACAATTTGTGGTAAATTATGTATTACAAGCTTCACGTTAATGATGCTATTTTATTTATTTATGGCCGCTTATATTTTAAAATATTACTGGAAAAGAAGAAATGCTACAAGAAAAGGAAGGGAAAAGCGTTATGGCTTTGGTAATGAACTGAGAATGTATCGTCACCTTCATAGTAAGAACAGCAATGATAATAGTGGTATTGATTGGAAAGGAAGAAAGGACGAAACAGTTGTGATGTTGGTTTATGAAGAACCTCATTCAATACTTTAAATCTATCACTAATTTATAGGACCGATTGATCATCATTTAAATATTTACATTTAGACAATGTTATGTAATTTACTTACTTTAATTATCTAATAAAAAGATCGATTAGCGTTGGTGGATAAACTTTTACGAAATTAACCTTATATATAGAGTCCTACTTTACCCATTGATTTTGACATCCATTCATCCTCAATCACGAAATCATTATTAAATTACTTTCCTTAAAGTTATCATGAAATTTGCTAAATGTCTTCGAGCCGAATTGGTACCAGAGTGGAAAGAGAAATACATTGATTATGAAGGCTTGAAAATTATTTTAAGCGCAATCGACTTGGTACCAACCAGTCAATCTACCCCTTTCTCACTTACAAATAATGATTTTACAATATCGATACCTCAAAAAACCACGGGAACTTTAAAAACAAATGCTTTATCTAGTATAATTTCAAGATCAAGTAGTTTGATGAAAAGAATGTCTAAAACTTGTTCAAACGTTATACAGAAGCGGATATACTCTTCACAAAGTAAGTAGGGAATTCAAAGAAAAGAAAAGGATAGTTTTATTAAACCTTATACATTTTACAACGAACGTTTTGTAAATTTATAGACGTGAATAATCCTATAATGTCATATGAATCTCTTTGGAATCAAATTACTCCTCATGAAAAGGAGTTCTTTATGACTTTAGAAGATAATTTAAACAAAGTTGAAAATTTCTACGAAGGTAAGTATCAATAGTAAATTTTATCATTAAGAGACAGTTGTCTAATCAAAATAATTTTAATAGCGAAATTAAGTGAAGCCTTAAGACATTTTGACGAACTAAAAATACAATACAAATGTGTGAAAGAATCTAGAAAGGTAACGTAAATCTCTTGCGACGCAGTCAATAATATGACGCAGCCAATCATCATTTATTATACTTTATATTAGGAATGGTCGATAACACCTGGTACCACGACACCAATTTCACGAGTTGAAGAAACAAAATTTCGTGCTAAACGAAATATGGACTATAATTCCGCTAAAAAATCAATTAAAAAGGCCATATTTGAATTTTATAGAGGAATTGAATTGTTAAAATGCTATAAGGTAAAGAGAAAATTGTTGCAGTTTGATTTTGCATCACGTGATTAACCTGTGCTTTCTTTAATCATTAGACTCTAAATCAAACGGGATTCGCAAAAATCCTAAAGAAATATGACAAAGTGTGATATTTTAATTTTTTGATCTTTAATTTTATTTTTATTTTTTTTTTTTTACAATGATTTAACGAAAAGTACAATGATAGGTTGCGAAAAGAAACGGAAGTGAGATATATTTACCGCGAATTGCCAATTACAATTTCGTAAAATCACCTGTTCTGGATAAGCTCATCCAAGAGACTGAGGTATATACTGTATATTAACACGCTAGTATTTAGTAGTCAATATACTAAAAAAGCGAATTTTCAATGATGTGTCTCTTAGGCCTATTATATTAATAATTTCGAAGGAGCTAAACGTCAACTTCGACTCCAAAATAAAGAACAAAAGGTATGATATAAATAATA